ACTACCATTTGCACAGGAAACAATCACTTCACTTTTCTCTGCCTCAAGTACCCATCATGTAAAACAGGAGTCATCACTTTTCTTTACAGAACACCTTAAAGGACATGGCTGAAAAGCAATGTACAACGTGTGTTTCAGATGTTAACCTTCCTAGGCACATGTTATTTCCATTTCCTTTGAAATCCTCTTCTAGTCCAGCATTAAGTTCCACAAAGATTATAAGCTACAATTTCTCAGAGGTCTGTGGTACTCTGAGTTATTGAATCTATGACTGTGAAGATTGAAATAAAATATTAGAGCTTGCTATGACCTTACATTTTCTGACATTCCTTGCGTTCCCCCAGCATGGGGTCTCCCAACTCTCCCAGAATCGTTGCTTCCACTTCATAATGGACAATGAGGGCTTTCTCAGATGGATGCACATCTATGTTACCTCCTTTTACCTTCCTGTCACAAAGGGAAAAAAACTGATTAAATGAAAAGCTCAGAAAACACACCAGAGCAGAAATCAGGTACCTGCTATGCAGGCTCTAAACCCAAGTAGTGCTCTCCTTTCCATGCCATATTCCATCCCACACAGCTGTACCAAAGCCTGGTGCTAGTGGCATTTTCTTGGCTACCACCTGTAGTACAGAAATATCCAAGTCACTGGTAAAACCTTACTCACAGAAATAAGGGCAGAAATCAAAGTAATCCTGTTCCACACCACCACAGTGAGTAAAAAGATGCATTTCACCAAGTGAATTTCCCAGTTGGTTCCCCACTACCTTGTCAGTATTGACTAATCTTTGTCTAATGGCCTTCACTTAGTGCAGTCCTCTACAAATGGATTTTTTTTTGTCATTCTCTTGGCTAACTCCTAGTAGTTACAATTCTGTGAGACTGAATTACAAATAATTTGTATTTCAATTTAACTATCCTCTCTTGAAACACAAACCTCTTTACTACTGTTCTTCACCTCCTTGTGCCTGCTGCCAGGCTTGAGGGATCACAAAAACGAACAGCTGCCATCCAAAGATCCAAATCATGTCTACCTGCTTTTCTACAGCTACAGATCCTTGGGAGAAGTATTCTCCAGGGAAACACTCTGGTTTATGCCAGTGCCAAAAGGGCCTGTCCTGCTCTCTCCTCCTCTGTGCCAACAATTCTGTGTCCATGCAGGTCCAAGGCTCCTGAGGAAAGGCTCAGATGGATGAAGACACACCTCATTTCTGTTTTCAAGCAGTGGCAGAACCACATCCAGAGAATACAGTGACCCATTTTTACTTACTGGTAAAGATGACACTTGTCCCTTTTCCACTTGCTACTGCCAATCGAATATGTACAGTCATGCCATAAACCAGGCTGCCAAACACTGCAAATTAAAAGCACCTCCAAAATGTGGGTTTGGCTTTTGGGATGTGGAGTGGGTTTTTTGTTGGGTGTTCAGGTTTTTAGACAGATCATGTCCATAAAAAGAATTCCAAGTGGCTTCACCATGGTCATATCAGCATCTAGGAGATAGCAGATAGCCATGGCATTGGGTCAATTAGATCACGAAAAATGACTTCAACCTCATAAAGCTGGAAATGTCAGCAAATCCAGATGCAGCCTGTGCTGGAACCATTCTCAGCAGAAAATGTTTGAAATGTGTCTCCACCTACCAAGCTACTCTGGTGTCCACTTTTCCATCTGCAGATACAGCTGCAAAAAAATATGTTTGTCTTGAGATACAGCTGCCCAAAAACCCCCACAAATCACAGAAAGGTCTGCTGTGGGAAACACAGGAGTCTAGTTCAACTACCAGCCTTGCAAGGACATAAAGCTACACAGAGCAAACAAAAATATCTCCCTAGTGCTGGAGAGTAACATTTTCCATGAAAGCATAGCAAAACTCATCCTTTATGACTTGAGATTTTTTGAAGAACTTGGGTTTGTCCCCTTTAACAGTACCTTGAAGCAGGTGCTTCATTACAGTCTGGTCTCTGTTCTCACAAGGTCCAGTCTTGCAGGACAGAAAGCTTATGGCAAATCTACTTCAAAAGAATCCAGCTCCCACTCCCCACCTCCAAATCTACATTAAGATCTATCAGGAGATGCCAACTGCAAACACTGAGGGCTCCTGACAGTCAAAGCTCTGGTTAGTGACAGCTTAGTAATATTTACAGATGCAAAGAAAAGGATGGGTAGAGAACAGAGTTGGGTAAAGTTTTACAAGAATAAATCTGGGTTAACAGCTCATCACTGCCCAAAGGATTACACTTCCCATGTTTCCCCTGCTCCTGGCAGTCACCTTGGAGTTCAACATGAGGGCTCTTCAGTCCCTGTCACAGTCAATTCCAGCAACCCAACAGAAAACTCTCCATGTTTTGGAGAGAGGAAGTTTTTCACTGTGTAACAGAACTAAAGTGCTCTATAGAAAAGGAACAACACTTCCTATTTATCATCAGGGAAAAGGAGTGAAACCTCCTCCTTTTGGCAACAGTAAACCACTGATGAGCTTAGCAACCAGGAGAGCCTTAGCTTAAGACTGCTTAAACAGTTTTAGGACTTCTCATATTTATTTTTTTCTTTCAGAGGGATAGATGGGTAAACTGAAGCACTTAGAGCTGCAGAGATTTTCTGCCCTCTCACACTGACACACACCCTCTCTGACTAATGAAGTCACAAATCAATAAGTTCCCTGTTCCAAGTTCCCTGTCTGAAAATCCCACCTTGTGAAATGCTTGAGGACCTACACTAAATTGCATTCCCAGCTACTGAAGTTGTTTTTCATTTGGAAAACACTGCATTCAGATTGTCAGTATCACAAGGCAAATCTTCATTTACAGAAAAAAAATCCCCTCCTCTCACTCAAATCTACAAACATCTTTACTGATTTTCTACACATCCTAAGTCTGTAAATCACGTCATAAAACATTTGAAACTGCAAATATTATAATGAGCAGCAGTAGCAATGCACTGGGGAGCTCTCATGCACATCAGCCTGTCCTTTCACTTCACTGCTTGCTTTGTCAACAAGAACCCAGTTCAGTTCAAGGTTTAAAGAGGAAGGCCTTTTCTACAGACAAAAGCTGCAAGCTGAGCTCACATAACCAGAGCTGGAGTGTTAATATCCTTTATTAACTAATTCCTTTAGAGGGAAAAAGCAAAAGCAAACTATCCTAATGAAAAGTGGCACAAACCACACGTGGGTAAGGCTGAAAATCCAATAACAAATCCCAGCAAGTCAGACTTGGTGGGAGGGGGAGTGCCCATGCAGGGTGACAAAGGGAAGCAGGGAGCAGAGGAGTACCAGACTTGCACAGCAGCCTGGCCACGTTACACAGCACAGCAGGTCGTTTTGGGTTTGTGCTCCCAAAAAAGAGAGACAAATACACCTGTGGCAGGGATGACTACAAAACAAAGATTCCTACAAAATCACATAAGATGGCATAAACTGAACAGGTAAGGCTAAAAAAACAGGCACTACTCCAAAATTACAGCTGTTGATTTAATTAAGGGTGGCATTTGATTTTTACCCATCATGGCATTGCTATGACAGAACGGATTTCAAAGATTATCAAGAGGGTTTTTTTCCCTGCATTGTTTCCAACTATGGAGCTTAATATGTGGCATACAAGGGGAAAAAAAAGCAAAACCTAGATAGTCTAAACAGGAAATTCTGCAAATACTAATAAATGGAAAGGAAGTAAAAAACAAGAACAGGAACTCCTTAGGATTCAAGACAGGATGGATAAAATCACCTGCACGATAGGAGGAAGTGACACTGTCCACACATGACATCTGAACAGAGGCCTAGATGACCTGGCATCTTTTGGGATTGATTCACTTTTGCTCTGAAACAACTGACAGAGATCCAAGAGCTGCCAGCTCAGGCCCTGTTCTTTATGCTGACTGGTCTCACTGCCAAACAGACAGATAAAAGGCACCATTCATTCATCACACCTGCAACCCCAAACCCAGACGATACACTTTTCACCCCACAGTTACCTCTTCCATTCACAACGCTTGTCCTGCCCAATCTGCCATGCCATACTCTTAATACCTCCTCTGAATCAGTCTCCCAGCTGCTCCCTGAACCTGGCCTTACTGTCTCTCATCCCATCCCTGATCCCCAAAGCAGCTACCTGCGCCTAATACACAATGATCCTCTCCACTCATCTCCTAATAGCACCTATTCTCCTCTCAGCCTGCTGTCACTTCAGTGCCTCGTCCCAAACACACCACAAAATGCCACCACAGCCATCCCCAGACCAAAGCACCCTCCAAACTCCTCCTCCTCCTCCCCAGCAGCACCCACCCCACCTCTCTGCCTACCCTGCCTTTGTAACCTTCACTCATTCTCATCCAAACCTTCTTCCGAACAGACCGGGGCAGGCTGAGGGAGGACCACCTAAACAGATCTATCTCCCATTGCCACACCCCTCACCCATCTCACCAGCACACCACAGCCTCCAGTCAGCCTCCAAACCAGCCACTCCTCACTGGCCATACCTCCACCCACCTCATCATCACCCCTCCCAAAACACGCTCCATTGTCACCTCCCCGACTACAACCTCCCAGCCATCCCCAAGCCAGTCCTCGCTACAACCAGCGGCACCTCGGCCTCACACTCCACACCCCCCCACCCACAACCCTCAGCAAACACCCCGCAACACCTGTGTCTCGCACCCCACAACCTGACACACTCCATCCCTCGGCACAAGCTGCCGCGCCTCAACCGCCACGACTTCCCCTCCTCACTCCGTTCATTCCCCGCAGCACGAACGGCCCGCCCCCCCTCGTGCCCATCCTCCCCGGTTACCTCTTGAGGTACCGGGCGTCCTCGCCCTGCATGGCGGCGGTGAGGGGATGGGGGGGGCGGCCCGGGCAGGGCGCGGCCCTGCGCGCGCGGTGCTCGTTACCAGGGAGAGCGCGAGCCCCGCCCCGCCCCGCGCACGCGCGCCGCCCTCACCCACGCCACACCCCTCCCCCCGCCTTTCCCTCCCCGTCAGCGCCCCCTGCAGGCGCGGGGGAGGCGCTGCCCCGCCGGCTCCCGGCCCCTCACGGGAGGGAACAGGCTGCTCCCGTTGGCTTGCGAGGGATCAGGACAGGAAAGGAAGAAGACGTGTAGGTTTGTTTTTTTTTTTTTTTTCCCCCCCTCTAAATATGTGCGCAAAAGTTAAGTTTATAAACTTGAGAAACGCTGCGTTGTTGGGCGTCGATATGATTCAGGCTATTAGACGCTTGGCTGAGAGCGAAAAGTGACCTGACCTCAGTACAGTAGAGGCAAGGTGGGTTGGTACCCTTTACTTAGTCTTCTGTATGTGTTTAATGCTTATTATTTTGAAATTGATATGCGTCACTGCCACCTCCTGCCAAATTGTGAAGCTGTTTTTCGGTTAATGAAGTTGTTTTTGGTGAGGGGTACTTCAGGGCACGGCGGGAGTGAGGGAGAATGTCAGAGCGCTCAGAGTCACAGCACGGCTGGGTTGGAAGGGACCTCCGGGGATCGTCCTGGCCAGGCAGGGCCACCCCGAGCAGGAGACACAGGGATGCATCCAGGTGGCTTTGGGATGCCTCCAGAGAGGGAGACTCTGCACCCTTCCTGGACAGCCTCCTCTGTCACCTCAGTGCAAAGAACGTCCTCACGCCCAGGTGGAACTTCTTGTGTTTCCATTCCTGGCTGTTGCACCTCACCCTGTCACTGGACAGCACCGAAAGTGGTCTGGCACCATCCTCCTGGCACCTGCCCTGGAGACATTTACATGGATTGATGAGATCCCCTTTCTTCTCCAGACCAAGCTGTCCCAGCTCCCGCAGTCTCTCCTCCTCCGGAGATGCTCCAGACCCTGTGTGCAGTATTTAGAAGAGCACTGAAGAAGGGCTCTTGAGGTGTCCTGCCCCATTATCGCCACCTGAGCTGGTCACTGGTCCTCAGCACCAGCTCTTGGCCAAGCCCAGCCTTAAGACAGCCTTGGTGTTTTGGAACATAATCTTCCTTTTGGGTCACTGACACACAGAGAGCACGGGGATGACACAGCTGTAGCTCCAGACTCAGGCAAAGTGGCTGCAAATCCAAAATCATGTTGGAAAAGTTACATATTCAGCCAGCACCTGAATTTTCTGTCCCTTTATCTTGTCTCCAAGCCACTCTAAAGAACAAGCACACAGCATCATATCCAAGAGGTCTCAGAAAGGATCTTAATGGGCTGTAGTTTTCTGGAGTACTCTTTACAACTGAAAATTCTGTCTGACAGAGTCGTAGGGGAAATGCAGAAATAAATAATAGATAACAAAGCTTTTGGTTTTTATTGTGGCAAAATACTAAGCATAAATACTTAATGTCTACTGATCCCATTAAAGACTAAGAATTTTTATACTTTCATAATCTGTAACAGAGCAGAATAAAATATTTTGTGGAATCCACACAGTGCCTGCCTTTGTTTTAACAGAAAATGGAAAAAGAAAGTACCCTGTGAAATATGAAGTGCTACCTTAGTGCAATGAATTTACAAAACATGGCTAGAACATAACACCCTTGTTACTAGGCTTATTCTATTTTAATCACAGTAATATTGTCATCAAGAAAAAAAAGCAACACAGCTGCCTAATCAGAATGATAATTCTCCAGTGATTTCAGCAGCTCTCCAGATAAGCATAAGCCAAACATTAAACTCTGAAGCCATATAAATAGTCTGATATTTACTGAGCACTAAGTACCTGACAGTCTTCATTTATTTCACTATGAATTTATTTATCTGGTCACATATGCCTGTGAATGGAGTCTAGTTTTAGACACCTATGGAAAACAGGCCAAAGAGTACAAGATGAGAATGATACAGAAGAATGTGAGAACTGAAAAAAATATGAGTTTATTCCAGTTAAGTGTGCCATGATGTTTGGGCTAAAACTGGCTATTTGTCAGGACCTGAAGGGCCAGCAGAGGCTGGGAAGAGCCCAAGTGAAATAAATATCTCAGCTTTGTAGGTATTGAGCCACCAGCCCTGCCAAGATCAGACAGTTCTCTTGGGCAGTGACAACCAGGTGATGCTGGCTTTAGAAAACCACATGGCATAGACACCAAACCCCACGTATTGCACAGTGGATTCTTCTAAAATTAAATTGTAGAGCATGTGCTGCCTGAGGTTTTGTTCTGCAGCCTTGCCCTGAGTTTCTGATGTTGTTTTGCACAATTCCTTACATCCCTGTCCTTACAGTGTGATGAGGTTTATGGGATGGGACTCTGGAGATCCCCTCACCTGCATGGTAGATGTGTATACGAGGAGGAGGAAAGAGAGGGTGGCACTTGAGGCAGGAGGGTGATCAAGTTGCAAACAGAAGCTGGAATACACAAGATTTTTGTGTTTCTACCTTGTTCTTTTGTTTGGGGGGTTTTGGGGTAGTTTGGCTTTTTTCGTAGAGCAGATATAAGAAATATGGTTCTGGAGTCAGCTTGAAGGAGAGATTTTTGTGTAGTGAGGGAGTATAAAGGAGGGTGTGAAAGAGCTTGGGAGCTGCAGAGAAAATCAGAATAGGAAGAGAATGGTGGAGAAAGTTGCGTGAGGAGAAGCTGGGCTAAAGGAGTGAAGCAGGTGGGTAAAAAACAAGAGGAAAGACAGAGCTGTGGAGTGTTCCCATATGGTATAGGTATGCATGTGTATATGTATTTATATTTATGGTAAACACAGATGTAGTAACTAACAACATTTTTATGCAAAAAAACTCCCAAATTTGTATTTTTTGGTCAAGCTGCAGGCATGTTATGAACCAGATGGATAGAATACACTCAGTGACATTGGAGCAACACCCACCACATTGCCTCATGGTAAACTTGATTTTATTTCTTGTTTGTTCTCTTAGTTTTGAAAAGTACTGATACTAGCAGTGATTTTTAGGTCAAAAAAGGTGTTTCCATTGTCTTCAATGAGCCTTTGGTATATGACAAGGCTGCATGTTGAAAATGCATTGGGACTGGTTTCTTTTACATCACAGTGAAAAAAAAATCGACCTAAATAACCACCACTGTTTTTCTGTAGCAAATGGAATTGTTGAAATGTAATAGACTAATCTCCTGTGTCTTGTGGAGTTGAGAAACCAAAGCAACCCTGAAATTTGTTATCTATCCATCAAAGATTGCATCTTGCTCTCAGGAAAAAAATAACCAGTGGTTTTGTAGGGAAAAATCATGAATATGAGACATTTGCCTAGTCCTTGTAAAATGAACCGTGCATGAAACTCCTTCAGACTCTTTATTAGCCAAAATAAAGTGGAGCACTCTGAAAGGATGACTTCCAGGGAAACATGTTAGGTGATTAGGCTGTGCAGCTCAGTGGGGGATGGAGATGATGTTGTTCTGATGTGCTGTCACACAGTAAGGGACTGAGGAATGGAGGTAATAAACCCTGGGCTTAAAAGTTTATACTGGGAGGAGGAAGTGAGACAAGGCAAAGCAAAATCTGATACGCAAAGGGAAAGTCTGGCTTAACTCCTCTGGATGGAGTTAATCTTGGAGCACAGATCAAGGTGATTCCTGAATGCCTTTATGATCAGCAGTGACAGTGACATCTGTGCAGGAGAGGGTCACTTTCAGTGTGACACATGATTGTGCTGGCAAATTCTGGGTGCTTTTGTTATTCTTGAACATGAGACTTCACAAAAATGAGAACAAGAGAACAAGATCCTCCATGAAGAGCTTGGTTTGTATTTTATAATATATTTAAAATACAAAATATTTTTCAATATATTTAAAATACATGTATAATATATGATATATATTATATATATAATATTTAAATATATATTATATATAACATATTTAAATAATAAATTTAATATATATTTCAATATATTTTTATATTTGTTCTTTATATTTAAATATATTTTATATAATATGAAGTAATTAATATAATAACACTGAGCTAAGAGAATACATAAATTTTCAACTCATTCAAACCAGGGAAGAAAATTACCTGTAGGTTTCCATTGTTTCAGGTGTAAAAAGAAACATCTGAAGATGTGAGAAGCAGCAGATCTCTTCATACAGAGTTCACTGTAGAGCAGAGTGTGCTGTTTTCTCCTCTGGGCTACTGAAATCAGAATTGCTGCCTTCCCTGGGACTGATCTTCTGTGATGGCCTTGTAGCTCCTTCTGGAGCTGGGGTTGTGGTAAAGTAACCATCTCCATGGACTTCCAGTGCCTGACTCAAGACCAGGCCTTTAAGAGGGAATTTTGCTGGGAGGAAAGCAGAGCAGCACGTTGTACACTGTCACAGAATCTTAGAATCCTGCAGGTTGGACAGACCTTTAATATCTAGCCCAAGAATAAACCTCACACTGCCAAATCCACCACTAAAGCACATCCCTAAGTGCCACACCTACCTGCCAGTATGTTCTGGATATGGATGTTCAGTGTTTGTGCTGCACTAGGATTTGCATTCTCCATTTCTCCTCATTTTCTGGCAAACAGCCTGAAAAGATTAAATATAGAAGTGTCCACACAGGAAGGAACAGATGGCCTCTCTCTGTTCGTGTCATCTTGTGACCCCTGATGACAATGAGGGGGATTTCTTGTGCAAAATCCTGGTTTTGCTGAAATCAATGGGAGTTTACCACTGACCCCAGTGGGGACAGAATTTCACCTCTTAATGTTTATTAGATGCAGCAGGCAGAAAGCAGACTCGTAGCTATAAAGGCTGTGACATTTTATGGTTCTGACTCTGCAACCACTCAAGCACATGGTTAATTTTGCCACAGTAATAAAGTTAAGCACTAGCTAAAGTGTTTTCAAGGAGGGGTCTCTTTTACACTTGAGCAAGTCTATATTTCATCATAAATCAGGAATTCCTCCCCTTCAAAAGAAAAGGATGCTGCATGTGATCATCAAATTGTTTCTACTTTGCACAACAATAATTGCCCTATTTCAGTTTTTGTCCTAAAAAGGCAAAGGGAAAGCAAGGAATGAATACCTCAGCTGAAGTGGTGTTGCTCTGGTGACATTTGACTTAACTCATTTCAAATGGATTCAAGAAGGAAACATAAATTTTTCAATATTAATTCTAAATACCTCAGACACTGGCTACTTCCTTTAAATAGTTAAGATTTTGCACTACACTTTACAGCCAAAATATTTTTGTTAAGTTTTTAAACTATCATAGACAACACCAGCATTGTTCTTCATATCCAGGAAAACTCTTCTACTTTTACAGATAGCAGTATTTTTGTATTTGTTTCCACTTAATTTTAGCCAAAGCACATCAGGAGTGTAGCAGAATGGAAGAGAGGTATTCGAGCTAGATGAATTCAGACCTGAAAGAAAGCATAAAAATTTAGTGGGATAGCACTTAACACATGGAATGACTTACCTTAGGATTTATGAGTTGATGCTTCCCCATTATTACCAGTCTTTATATCAGGAGTTTAAGAAAAGAGAATGTGGGTAAGTGTAGAGTAAATCCTTTCCCAGGGTCTGTCCTGATGCTAATTTGTTTTATTTCCATCGTGGAAGGAACGGAGCAGAGGCTGAACTTGGGTTTGATTTAGTGCACTTGCCCCTTCACCCTGCTTGGTGAGGGAAAAGCAGGAGAGCATTTGGAGCACCTGGAAGAGGCTGTCAGAGGAGGATGGTGATGGGGTGGGGTGGCAACAGAAGACCTGAGAGGTGGAAGGGAACATGGGGCAAAGAATAGTCCTTCACCCTCCCAGCTGTGCTTTGCAGGAGCCTGGAAAGGACTGGGGGAAGGAAAAAAAGGGACTGGTCTGGCTGGCCCATGAGTAAGAAAATAGAAGAGCCCAGGAGTTCAGCTCTGGAAATTGCTGGTTCTCAGGAGCTTCTGGGTTACAATAATGGAGGTTTTACAGTGCTGTTGAGCTGTGTGTTGAAAAAACAATCCTTCAGCTTTCAGCTAATTTAGTTACCATCTGTAAGCTGTTTAAGCCATTCCCCTTATTTCACTTTCCCCATTTAATTTTGCTCTGTATGCTTTTTCTTCATTCCACCTCCTACATGTGCATCTGTGCAGGCACAGTGAAGCACATAGGTGTGTAACTGAGGATTTTCTGTAGAGCAGGAAAACACCACTGTCACTGATGTTCTTTGTGGGCAGGACAGGGTAATGCTGCATTACTGTAACCCACCCACGGACTGCTGGCATTTTGCTGTGGGGACACATGGCCTCTTCCTCATACCAATGTATTTTATATAAACACAGAAACAGTGAAATATATTTTTTTAAAAAGTGCTTTGTGGTACAAAACTCCGACATTGGCATTTGTGTAGATGTCTGAGTTTTATTTTGTACAAAACTCAGTTTGCTACTGGATTTCAGATTTCAGTGGTAGCATGTTAAAGTTGTCCTTAGCTCACCCAGCTGAGCATCTCATGTGTTTCATGAGATTCCCCTGGAACCCAGGGGCATATCAGTTGTCGTGGCAAGGCATAGTGAGGTGAGTTAATTAGTAGCATTCCAACATATTTATTGGCTTTACTGGCTAGTAGTGCAGAATCCCAGAAGAAGGAAAGCACTGTAATTGTGCCAGATCCATCCTCTGTTTCCTATAGTTTTGCTCTAGAATTTTTTTCCTACATATTGTCTCGGTGCCAATGCTCGTGGTCTCTGAAATTAAAAGCATTTCTCATAAAGGGGATTATGAAATTAAAAATATTGCTCGTAAAAAACACATTGATCCTCACTGGGATCACTGGGAGGATGACAGACATAAAACCATCAAATTACTGATGTCACTAAATAAAACTAATTTAGGAGATAACAGTACATTTTTAAACAAATACTGGGGTTGTATTGGATTTACAAACTGCAAGAACTTTCCTTCCCAATGTGCTCATTCTTCATTTATCATTTTATAAGAAAACCCCTTAAACTAAAAGTTAGTCTCATACAATGTCACTTGCTAGCTTTCTTGCTAATCCAGAGGAAATATTATCCTAGTGGTCCCTGAGGTCCAATGTCTAGGTGTTGGATACATGATAAACTTACTTGAAGCTTTCTCAGTGAGATATAGTCCTCTGGAGACAGCTGTGGATTTAATTTTTCAAGCTTTAGTACAACCTAACCTCTTAAAAATAAGATTTAAGTTTCCCTTGTCAGGTCACTTAAGAGTTTCTTCTTTTATTTTGCCTTTTTTTTTTTTTTTAATTTTTTTTATTTCCCTCCTCTGCTACTTGCCCAGGCTGTTAATCCCCTGCCTCTGGAGGAAACATTTAACCATCTCAAACTTTTCACATCTTGATCATTTTTTGGTTCCAAAGGACAGCACACATCCATCTGGCTTTTGAATTGTTCTAGTCTGACAGTTTATCTAGAAAGTATCAATGCAAAGCAAACAATTTCCAGTCTTGATTATGTAGGTTTTTACATCGTGCTGAACAGAGGTGTTTTTTGCAAATTTTGAGCCACTGCTCTGTGTAAAAGCAGTATTTCACACAAAGAGGTGTGTTTCTAGTTTATGCTGTCCAGGAGTTGAGTTTAATCTAGTTTTCTTTCCCCTTGGTATTTATCACTTAGTGTTTCAGAAATGGTAAATTTAATGTTTCAAGGCATGCACAGAATTTAACTGGCGAGTTCCTGGTATTGAGAAACTCCACACAACTCAGAGCCAGGTTAAGGATGAAGGCTGATCAAGCCAGCAATGTCACAAACGCTGAAATGTGTCTGAAATGCAAGGGATATTATACTCCTGATACTTTTACTGATCCACAAAAAATGCTGCTTGCAGCTCCTGACCCCCCTCATCTCCCTGCTGTGCACACACAAACACACTCACAGGTTTCTGCCAGACTGTTCCTTCTCAGAGCTAAAGGTGCCAGAGGTCTTTCAAGGTCACTTGTCATATTTGTTCTCTACAGTCAACTTTTCTTTTTTGTCCTTTCAGCTCGTTTTTCTTTGACTTCCTGAGGAAATTAGTTTTATCTTGCCTTACCTATTCGTGCATTCATCAGGTTTCTGCTCCCTCCCTCTTAATGCCCTCGTGACGTGTTGGCTAAGTGCAATCACCACTGAAAGATGTGCACGGGGTCTGCAAGTTAATTACATTTCTAGGGGTTTGTGTGCTCTGGCTGCTGGGCAGATGAGGGAGAGACCTGTGGTGGGGACTGTGCTCAGGGAGAGCTAAGCAGAGTTCAGCTCTTTGGCAGCAGGGAGGGGTCAGTCCCTCTGTGCACACTCTCCAGACAGACAGACAGACAGCACAGAGGAGCTGCTGGCCAAGTGTCCCACAGCAGCTCCAGCCTGGCTGCAGCACAGGCAGTTTCTTGTCCTGGGTGGATCTTTGCCAATGCATGGCAAGTGAGAGGAGCTGTGGGGCTTATTTTAGATGGAAGCAGAAAGACACACATCTAAAAGAAGCTCTCATGTTGCTCTGTGGCTCACAGAACAATCTATTTTCCAGTATAGTTCTAACAATTCTGACTGAAGCAATGTTCAGCAGCACTGCTGTGAAATGTGCCTCTGTATCAGAGCAGGGAAAGCCAGTCTGATGTTTGCCCTCCGAGCCAACAGTAGGGAGGGATCCACAGAGCTGCAGAGCTGAATGTCTGGATCTTTACATCTCTGCCTCTGCAAAAAGAGAGGCAGGTTGAGAAGGTTAAATTGTCTTTCTCATCAGTGGTCTGCACACAGCACTTCTTTCTACAACTCTGTTGTTACCCATGGCACTCTCTTCTTTCTCAGGGTGGAGCTGCTCTTTTGTCAGGATGTTCACACTCCACACAAAGGCTGTCCCCTCCTGACATCACCCCTTCCACATCACATCACATCACCAGTGTGTGCCCTGGATTTCCCACATTGGGGGGGGCTTCATGCTGGGCCTTCTAAGAGTTCAGGAAAATACCTGGTCTGGCTCTGTGCTAAGTGCTAAGAGCTAGCCAAAGCACATTTCCTACCTAATGGATTTAGGCTGCTCCCTAAATCTTCTGCCAGTGGCTGTCAGATACAGGATAACTGGGCAGTAGCTCTGTGGTCTGAGCAGATGGGTCAGTCTCATGCCTTAGGTAGGAAGGATCCAGCTGAGAGGAAGTGGAAAGGCATGTTTTTTCTGGCAGTGTTGTGTGCAGAAGGAGCTTTGATGGTTTGGGTTGCCATCTTTCTCTAGCTTTGGAATTGAAAATAAATCCTTGAGAGACTTTTCACCAAAGCATTTCTGGCAGTTGCATGCCAGAGCTGAAAGACATTGAAGCTAACTTATCTCCCACTTGCCCAGTTCTCCCTGAGGGGTTTCTGCATTGTTTTTTGTGCTGTTTCATGAGTGTGCAACGTCCTCTTTATCCCTGCTCACCAAACCACGACCCCCCCCAAAACCTTTTTTCTTGTGTGCAGTCTCCAGTGGCCGAGCCAGGCAGTTTCCAGAGCCCCTTCCTCCTTGGTTAGAGCTGTGCCTGCATTCTTCAACAGAGCTGTGGGGCACAGGAACTGTGCGCGCTCACATGCACAAGGTTACAGCACAATTGATCCCACATTTTCCAAACCCCTCAAGCCTCCCCAGTCAGCCAGGAGGAGAATTTTGTTAGCTTTCACCTCAGAAAGGAGCTTTACCCTGTGCTTGAGCCAACAGAGGGCAATAGACTCAAAATTCAATATTGAAAAGAAATGCTTTTAAAAGATGGCTCTGAGCAGCCCAGCCCTTACTGTATCTGGTGTCACATATCACAGTGAAAGGCAGCATTCCATGCAGGACCTAAAACCTTCTCAAGCTCCATCAATTAAACCACCACATCTGAGGTGGAAGAGACTCAGCAAGGAACTCTCACTAGGGTTCAATGAGAACCAGATGTTGTGGGCACAGCTGTCATGCTTCTTATCAAGAACAACAGAGCAGCCCCTGCTGCAGTTTCATCAGGAACCCTGCCCTTCCTTCCCTTCATCCTCAGCACTACTGAGGGTCCCTAACCAGAACCAAATAAAATCCTCCTGGCCAAAGCTCAGAGTCCTCCCCAAATATTGCTGTTTGTGTTAGCACAGTTTGTGGGTCTCCAAATCTGGGTCCTGCTGGGACTCTCACTGTGCTTGGGACACGATCTTCAAGCTGCCTCTCCTACTCAAGAGTGGCTTCACTCACTCCTTTTATAATGTAATTTATAATGTTGGCAGCAGGGCTAGAAGGATTAGAGGGAAAGTGTGTGTTCCCTCCATAGGCATAGAGCTCTGGCCAATTTCAGTCACATTAATTTTAATATATATTTACCCATAGGGCTCAGATGCTCTCAGATTGCTTGAGATGGAATTCCAGATTGCTAAATTCCAGTTGTATAAACGATAACAGATTGCTGCTGTGGCTGCACCCATGAAAGCACATGGGAATTGAGCAGGATATGCCCTGAAGGCTGTGAGTCATCCTGACCTACAAGCAGTGAACTCTGCTTTGGAAATGCGGTTCAAAGCAAGGGTTTCTCCTGAGACATCAGAAGTCCCATCCTCCCAAGGCTGGGTCTTTGCCCAAGGATTTGCTTTGCTCTGCATTTCCTTGACACAGAGTGATTTTGCAAGACTGACCAGTCTGCTGGAGACGTTATTCTTGTTTGCACTTGTAAATGATAGACTGAAACCAAATCTACCTGAATCTGATTACAAATAAACAAAAAATTAGAAGGGAAATAGCCCTGCAAACAAACAAAAACATTTTGTTTGGCCTGACACAGAAATTTTTGTGTGTGTGAGAAAAGGGCAGTATTTCAGTTTCTCATCAACCCAAAGCACTCTTTTTTTCTTTTTTCTTTTTCTTTTTTTTTTTTTTTTTTTTTTTTTTTTTTTTTTTTTTGGTCAATTCCGCAGTCAACTCAAAACTAAATTATTTCCACAGTAATAATTTTGAAAACTGCTAAGTCTGATTGGACCCATGAGTGGCATTCAGGATTGTGACTAAGAGTTCTGGACCTCAGCAAGTCAGACAATTTGTGCATCCACTGTCATATTGCTGTTTTCCAGCCTGACAGGGGCATTCACTGCTGCTCTGAACGAGCCACCAAACCTGCAGCCAGAACAATCCAGGCACTTGTAAAGCTTACCAGCTGCCATCCAACCTGCAGCTGCTCTCCACTGCCCTCAGAGCTGCATGGGTGCTCTCTGCCTGTGCCTCTTGTGTGGACATCATCCTGTGGCTCTCAGGAACTCTTAAAAACCTGATGTCAAAGACAAAGCAAAAATGACTTGCTTTAACTGCATCTATTCCTGACAGCATATGCCAAGCATGAGTGTGAGGAATGACTATAGAGGCCTTTTTTAAGATAAAAAGAAATCTTACAGCAGTCCTGATGGCATGTCTGTGTGGAAATTGGATTGCATACCAGGTGTTTTGTAAGCAGAACACAGTCCTTTAAAGGCAACCTTGACCCTTTGTGATCTATGTGATACATGGAGCTTGTGCACATGTTTTTATTTCTCTCTTCTGTGCAGCTGATGTGTTTCAGAAGTACATGTACAGCTCCAGTCTGCAGGGACAGATGGTTACCTACTAATATAAAAGCAAGTCCAACTCCTTGTTAAATATCCTGATGCTCCAACAAGCAGATCCACCTTGCATCTTGCAGCAACTCATAATAAACCATGTGATACCTTATTTTAATTGGGCTACTTAGGCAGAGATGAATTGCAGCTGTTTTAACAAGAAGCTGCTCTAGCTGATCCCTCATTTCAATTTCTGCTAAACCTCTTGTCATAGGACTTCTTCATCTCATGGGAACGAAGAGGAAGGCACACAGAGAAACTGTTGGCTTACCCACATAAATACAAGCACATTCCTGTTTTGGACCCAAAGCTGTTCAAGCCAATGACTGGCAGGCATTGTGGATGTGTAGACTGTTTAGTTTAGTTTAGCTTAGTTTAGTTTACTCTACTCCACTTTATCCAGAGCTCTGGATTCTCCAGGGTCCCTACCAACAAGAAAAAGGCTGGGTAGCTGGCTTCAACTTCAGAAAGAGTCAAGTGGCCATTTGGGAAAGGAAGTTAGGATTGAGATGTGGGTTTGCTCACATTTCAGCAGTCACACCACGGATAGTGTCATCGTGGGTGTCATCGTGCCCATACTCCAACCCCACACTTCTTGTGAATGCAGATATGGGATGTGTAACAGTGCTTCAAGAAACACCCCCTTTGGGGAAAAAAAAAAACCACCCCCCCCCCCCCCCCAAAACAAACAAACAACAAAAAAACCTAAAGCAAAAACCAAAAGCAAAACCCAAACAAACAAAAAACCCCCTAAAAAAAAACAACCAAAAAACCCCAAACCAACAAACCCAACCCTGCTATTTATGTGCTCTTTATCACACAGTTCTGGGCACAAATCTGTTTGATCTAAGTTTTGACAGCAGTAGGAAGTGCTTTGAAAGTGCTTTAAAAGGCTCAGTGCTCTTGAGATTCACTTGGTTATCTGCACTAGGATCTGAGGAGCAATGGTGTGTCCACAGCAACTCACAGATGACAGAGATGCACCAGGGATTTGATCACATGCAGGTGATATAATAGAAGCAGTGTTTATACAGCCTTTTGGAGATCTTTTGTGTAGGGCAGGACTGCTGTGATCAAACCCACCACAATTTTATCTAAAAGAGTTATAACCAACATTCAACCAACCCTGAAAAACTAATCCTGTTTTTTTTTTTAGAACTGTTATTTCTGACATATTTGTGTTGGGTGAGAACTGTACCATGGAAAGACAAGTGTGAGTGTCACTGTGCTCAACAATTCTTATGGGGTTTATGGTGTCTGGTGAGAGAAAATCTCACTTTGCTGAGTGAATCCAGGATTACCTTTGGCTGTTGTGGCAACCCCTGGTGTGGATTCTATGCGTCCTTTTGCCACGGTTGGGATTAAATGTGTGAGATGGAATTTCTTGTTTGGACTCAGATGTTTATTAGGTCTTATCTACGTTACAGTCTCACAAACCCTGAGTTCTGCAGCACTTCACTCCAACATACTAAAAATGGAGCCCTGTCTCTCTCTCTCTCTACAAGGCCTTTTAAGGATAAACTGTCCAATTAAAAAATGACACCTGAATTATTTTCACTTTTAACCCAATAGCCAACCACCCGTGGTCCTCAATGTGGACTTTTTTATCCAATTACACAAAACCACCCAGACCCATGGAGAAGAAGGTGAAGAAGGACCAGCCACTGCCCTAAAACCTCCATCTTGCTTTATAGATATTACTATATTCTAGAACCTTAAACTCTTAAATTTTCCCCCCATGATTTTGCACACCTCTATTCAAACTCCACACCCACCATCCCAGTTCTATCATTCCATTTTGGAAGCTTCTCCACAGCTTCAGGTCAAATGCAGTGTTCTCTTCGGGGTCAGTGCCTGTCAGCACAGAAAGTCTAAAATTCTCAGGAACCAGGATTCCAAGGCCCTGGAGCACACCTCTCTGACAGGAAGAAGCAGGAGATCTGCATTATGGATACAGCCACTGCCATCCCAGGTGGCTCTTCCAGCCCCCAGACTGTGGCATGTGACAAATTCCCACATATCAGCTGTGAGCTGGCCTAGGGAACTGATACTCCTTAAAAAAAAAATCAAATTTATTTTTCCAAATAAGATTTATTTTGCTTGGTGAAGGCTGGGTCACCTTTGTGCTGTTCTTAAAAACTTGGTCAGATATTTGTCAGGAGGTTGCAGTGCTGCTGGGGATGTAGGGCAGCCCATTTGTATTGGGAACATCCAATTTCCTGACTGTGTTTCTGCAGTGCAGCAAACTGATATTGCAGACACCTGGAACAAACACTTGAAAAGGGGGAACCTTTGCTTGCTGGAATCACAGTTTATTAGGACTCACAGTTTGTGTAGAGGTACATCCCTGTTCTGTCTTCTGGCCTTCCTCTTGAGTGCCCTGCACTGAAGAACCAATAGTGAGGGAGAGACACAGAAACAAAATCACCCTGCAAGATGTAAGAGGGAGATTCATAATAATATCTGAGTTCTTTTGGAGTGAAAGCTGAATAGATTAAGAAAAGTACAATTGAATTAAAGCCACTCCTTTTTGGAGTGGATATACTTTAACCCTGGCTAAGCACTGGTGGATTTTTTTTTTTCCACTTTCCAGCACCTGCTTGTTTCAGAGGGCAACACTCCAGGGATAAGTGTGGGCCAGTGCCAAGAGCCAGCATTTCTCACTCCCCTCTCACCCGCCTCCGCCCCTGCCACACACCCCGATATAGCATGACAGCACACTGCCACAATTTAAATGACTCTGCCTCTGCCCCTGTGGAAGGACAGGTCCTCCAGAGAGCACCAGCCACAGCAGCTGTCCATTCTCCCAGAAAAAATCTTCATCATGGCCTATAAAGCAGCACATTTGGCCTTTAAGTCGCGCTGGCACAAGACGGATGAAGAGCTCTGTCGGCACAGCATGTCCTTTGTCTTGCACAAGGCCATCCAGAACGACTTCTTCAAGTGCTACCTTTACCTGCTGGAAAAGCTTCCCCTGGGTGAGTAACCATGGGCAGGGTGTCCATGTGTGCCCTGGAAAGATGGATTGTGTCAGATGGTGGAGATGGTTACTGGCAGTGAGGAGGAGGAGTAGTTTTGAGAAACCCAACTCAAGAGACTGCAGTGCTCACTAAAGAGTTTGAAACTGTGTCTCCCAACTCCCTCTAATCCAGTAGTCTGTTGTTTCACCTAAATATTCCGCGGATTTTTAGAGGAGGCTGAGGGAAAGACTTGCAAGAGTGAATAAGTTTGGTTTCTGGCTGACCTTTCCTATTTTTGCCATCATTTGAGTAAAACATGCTTTGACCTGTTTGGAGCTTGGAAGGACAAACACAAAACTAGCAGAGCTGGCAGGTGGTTTTCTTGTGCCTGATGCCTGTTTTTGTTGTCATTCTGGGTGTCCTTAGCTCTGGTGTTTGTATTGATTTGGACAAGTGCTTGAAAGATGGTGATTTAAAATTTTTTTCAAAAATCTTTGTTATGCAGATCTCTGCAGCAGATTGTTTAACCTACTGTTTGCTCTCTGGGAGGAAAATTCTTCCAAAAATTTGTTTATAGACAAATTGCAGTGACAGCCTCTGGTACAGAACTCCAATGGGCAGTGTGGGTTTTTTGTTTTTGTTTTTGTTTTTTTTTTTAAGATGTAGCAAATGAATGTTCATTTCTTATGCGAATTTAGCCCTGAATAAGAAACAAGATTTCCCTATGAGAATAAAACTGAAAAGTAGATTTAACTTGACTCTGTATTATGTTAGCATGTTCTGTTTTAAGCAGAATTGTTCAGCCTACACTCAATGTCAGACCTGTAGGAATTTTAAGATGGGATGGATGAGCTTGTGCAATCTGTTTAAGGGAATTCTTGAAGGTTCCTTTCTAATTGCATGATCCATTTAGGCAAAAGGAATATCTTACCTATTTGTGTGAACTGTACAGATGCCACTGATAACTCTGCTCAAGAGGGTAGAATTCACTAATCCTGCAAAAATAAAAAACCATTTCCATGTTATCTTAGTATTTTTAATGTGCAATTTATTATTATTATTATATTTATTATTATTATATTTATTGATACATATATATTTTGTAAGATATATATTTATTATCTTAGTATTTTTAATGCAGCAATATCTGCAGCTATTTAAAATGAAACATGGAAAATAAATACTCCGATCCCTAGTGGTGGGTAGCTGTGAACAATGGAAAGGAAGGAAAGATGGAAAGGAAGGGAAATCAATTACAGGTTGATGGAATCTCATGAAGCCGATGAAAATGTTATTCTTTCATTTGTTCTGAAAATAAACACAACTTATTAGAAACTGAGCAGGATTTCTTACAGTGTTAACTGTTAGTGTAAGTACCACTGCATCATTTTAAGGTTAGAAGGTACCATTATGAGCATCTAACTTGGAATTGAGTGTAAAAATTCTGGCATCGTGCTTGTAACTTGTCTGGGTCACAGAACACAGAATTTATTTATGAACACAGAAATACCTTGGTTTAAGTGTTTCAAATGGCTGAGAACCCATCAGGCACCACTCAGCTGTTTCCAGGCCTAATTGCTTCACTCATAAAAGTATACTTATTCGTGTCTGAATTTTATTGAATTTCCATTCCTGGCCAACAGACTTTGTAAAATGTTCCTATCGGACCATAGGTCCCCTCTGTCAGGCTTTTCTTTACCTGACTCGTTAAAACTTATCTAATGATCTTACAAGCCTATCGCCAGCCTATCCTAATTACTTTGACTCCTTGGAGGATGCACTGTGATCCCAGCCTTCAGGTGAATATGCAGGATGTATCTGACTCCCTGGTTATTGCCCTGAAGTAAAAGTGGGCATGAGGATAGCTGTGTGAAAACCCAGGGCACTGGGAATATTTCTCTGTCTGCCCTGGGGTGCCCTGACCCCCAGGGGAGCACTGACTCTGACCCTCATTCATGGAGAAAGTTTCCTAGACTTCAAGATAGACCAGAATCCACAAAAGTGCGAAATAATAGATTATAGGGAGCAGTGTAGGTGTATCACTTGGTGGGAAATTTAGGATTTTTAGTATGTTGTGGATGGAAGCAAGATGGAGGGCACAGGGTGTCATCCTGGGTTTCTTCTTCATGCTGCTTCTTCCTTCTTCTTCATGGTTTGGGTGGCACTTTGTAATTGGGCAGAAAAGTCCACATTACGGGCTCTGTGGGATCAGTTATTGGGTTAAAAGGGAAAATAATCTAGGTGCCAGTTCTTAATTGGATAGTTTAGTCTTAAAAGACCTTGGAACAAGAGATTGTGGCCATTTTGTGCCTTCTAATGAAAAGCTGCTGTAAGAGTAATGACACTGTTTTACTGATAAGAAATAATAAACACCTGAGTCTGAGCATGAAAGTCTCAAGTGCCTTTGATCCAGACCCAGAGAAACCCACAACTGGTGGAGTGGTTCAGGTGCTGTGAGTACACATCCAGGGAAATTCACATGCTGCTATGATGGCAGGGTCTGGACAGGGGGACACTCAGGCAGGTAAAAAATGTTCAAGTGATTGGCTCAGAGAGTTGTGCTCAAATCTTGAACTCAGTGGAATCCTACAAGTGTCTGTCCTGGGACCTGTCCTGTTTAGAACCATGGAATGTTTTGGGCTGGAAGGGACCTTAAAGTTTATCTGGTTTCAACTCCCCTGCCATCTTCATCAGTAGCCTGGAGGAGGTGAAGGACTGATGTCACATTCACATTCTCTGAAAAACCCCTTCGCCCAGAATTTTTCTCCTGGGAAGCTGAGAAGCCTCAGAGAAAAAAGAAAACAATTCTTATCTCAATGGCTTCTCCTGTGTTTTGCTGCTTTGGAATGTGTTTGGAGTTTGTTTATCCAAAGGTGATTGTTTCATTGGGTTTTGGTGTGTGTTTTGACTCTTAGGCCAATCAGTGCCAAGCTGTGTCAGGACTCTGGAAAGAGTCATGAGTTTTCATTATTATCTTTTTAGCATTCTGTAAGTATCCTTTCTGTATTCTTTAGTAGTATAGTATAGTATTCTTTAATATAATATAGTATCATAAAATAATAAGTTAACCTTCTGAGAACATGGAGTCAGATTCATCATTCCTTCCTTCCAATGTCGAGGCACCCTGCAAATACAATAGACTGTTTTATCCTCACATCCAGAGATTGCAGCCAACTGCCAGGACCTGCCCACAAGTTCTAAGTCAGGCCTGCCATCCGGAGGCACCGAAACAGGCTGGAGGAAAGAAACAGTAGCAACCTAGTGCCATTCAAACCCACTCAAATTCCAACCCAAAAGCCAAGTCGTATGCCTGGATAGGAAAAACCCTAGGCAGCAACACCATGGACTGGCCAGGGAGTTTCTCCTGGTGGGGTTTTGATAGGCAGCAGCTGAATGTCCTGGAAGCAAAAGCAGCCAACAGAATCCCAGGATGAATTAACAGAAACGTGGCTAGTTGAGTGAAGGAATGATCACCTTTTCTGTAGCAAAAGAGCCTTGAGCTGCTGGTGCAGGATGTGACATGGAATGAGTTGGAAGACCCTCATTGTGGTGAGGCAACTGGAGCACGTGCCCTGAGAAGACAGACAAAGGGAATGGGGCATGTTCAGCTAGAAGAGAGACCAAATATCATCCTGCTAGTACCTACAGGAAGGTCATGAATAAGATGGAGCTCAGATCTGCACAGTTGTGCGCAGCATGAAGACAAGGGCTGGTGGCCATGGATCAAAAATAGTCCAGACTTACTATAAGGAAAAAGAATCTTTTTATGTGAGGAGAGTCAGACATTGGAACAGGTTGCTCAGGGAAGTTGTACAATTCTCCATCACTGGAGGCTTTCTAAACCTAGCTGTCTAAACCCTGCTGAACCTCATCTGGCATCATGTCTGTCCCTGCTTTGAGCAGCAGTTTGGATGAATGTATGAATGGATGAAAGCAGAATGTTTGAACATCTCTGCAAAATGACAGTTTCCAGCTCAGTTCAGAGTGGACCTGAGCAGAAATGAGCTGAGCTTCTCAGGCTTCAAGACTGGAGCCAGATATCTCTGTGTAAACAGTGTCAAAGGACAAGAGCAACACTGTGACCTAGCAGGGAAGTTAAGCACGTGCTTGACCCGATTGATGAGTAATAACACTGAAACCAAGCCTCACACTGAATCCTGTGGTGCTGCCCAGGGTCAGCAAGGTCCAAAGCTTCCTCCAAACTCTGCTAACTCCGTTCTCCCCCCACTCCATTGCTGTGTTCAGTGGTGGAGCTCTTCTGGGCATGTTTACTTTGGAGCTGAGTGTATCTGGTATCACAGCCTGTTAAGAGAAACATGTCACTTTTACAGACCAGGCTAACATTTATAAATAAAAGACATGAGTAACTTCAGGCCCTGATCCAACAATGTACTTAAATGTGTGTGAGAGCCCTTAAGCCCAGTGGACTTTACTGGAGCTACTCAGATGCTGGAAATTATGCACGTGTTTACAGGGGCTGTGGGACTCAGTGCCAGAGGGCTGAGATCTCCAGTGGAAAACTGAGAAGATTCACCCCTGGAGACAAATATTCCTGCATGTGAGGCACATGGCTAAATGTAAAATCAGCTTTGGAGGTGGCATGATGTTCATCCTCTATAAACCAGAATTTACATGTCCTCAGACCACAGCAGAGAGGTAGATTCTACCATGCACACAGATAACCCTTTTTCAGCTGATGAACAAAGCAGATGTTGCATTTAAAAGGGAGCACTCAGCCAAACTGGAATTAGTTCAGTATCTTGCAGAAAGCAATTGAGCCACAAAATAATGTTCACAAATAAAAACTTCAAAAAAAATTACTTGCAACATTTACTTCTGCCAGGGAAATTTAGTTGAGGAAACCCTGAAGTCAAGAACTGTAAGTAAGCGTACTGCAGGTTGGGATTGCACTGGGTCTTATGTGTTAAGTGGTCCATTTCTTTAGAGATTTAGACCAAATGCACTGGAAAACAACATTTTTAACTGATCCATAAGGAAATATGAGAGGTAATGTTTTGAACTTTGCAGGGTGAAAGGCTCAGGTGGATAGTGTCTGTCCAGTCCACATTGGCTGGCATTCAGCTGTAGATCGCCACTCTGCATCCAGACTGTGTTTGCAGTGACTGAAAATTACTGATGTCTCATGACTGGAGTGACCTTTAGGGAGCCACTTCGTGCCCTCAGCCTGCCTGAGCAGGTTTGCCTTCAGCCATCTTCACTTGGGGACTTGCCAGCAGATTCAGCTGAGGGACAAGTGTGCCGTGAAAGTTTCTTCTTTACTGGAAACACATTTCTGACTTTAAATCTTACAAGTTACCTGCCTTAACACTGAGAACCTCATATGTTAGCCAGCTGCCTGCCCTCTGATGTCTGAGGAAGTTGCAGCCTGCCTCGTTCTATCCTGCTCATGCCCTACTTTATGGAATTTGTTGAAGGCAGGCTGTGTACCCATAGCAGGCCTCACAAGTATTTAATTTCCTGATGCATGAGGCAGTCCCACACGGGTCATGGAAAGGGAGATGCCTCTGGCTAGACAGGTCCTGTGATGAGGGGGAGGCACGGCTGCAACACTGACAGCCATCAAGGGTATGTGGGGCTTCTCTTTTGGGGTAGATTCCTGCAAGCTGGCAAACCTCCTCCTCCCTGGGGTGCTGCTGCTGCTGGAGCCTGCATGCCAGGCACAGCTGCCAGGCAGATCAAAGGTGAGGATGATTGGCTGTGTCTGGAAAGCTGGGTTGTGCATTGGGAGAGTTGGCAGTGCTGCAAATTCCTGAGAGGGAGGAGCAGAACTGAAGGAGCAAGAGGTGGAAATCACCTCTATGGATCTCACACTGTACAAGAGAGGCTGTGGGTCCACAGGAGAAAAGTTTGGGTTCAGTGCCCCTCCTTGCACTGTCCCATGTCCTTGCATGCCCTGGGGTGGGAGACATGCATAAAAACATCTTTGCACACTTTAATGCATGGAGAAGCCCCTGTGGATGCTCACCCAGAGCTGGTTTCAGATGCCAGCACGTAGGGCAGGGCTCTGGGGCCCCAGATGGCCCAGGAGGAGCTGCAGTCAGCTGCTGTGTGCATGCAAGTCCTGGCAGGAATTCTGCAAGCCTGATATTGGTTCTGAGTGAGAAATGTGAGAGCAGACACTCCAGATCTGACATCCTGAACACCATATCGTCCCCATGTGTTGCCGCAGGTCAGGCTCATGTTTTGAGTAGAAGGACTCTGAATATTTGTTGTTCATGCTGTCCTGGTGTGCAGACAGCCTGTAAATGTCCTTCCTTTCAATGTAGCAAAATGGGATAAATCACTGTCCCTTGACAGGTCCATGGAACAAGCCCTGGAATCATCATTGGGTTCTTATATGGAAGATCTTGCACAGCCAACATACAGGGATCCAGTTCTGTTCAGCAGACAGGCTGACCTCTGAAACAAAAGCAGACACAGAGAAAACAAGATGGTACCACTTCTGGATAAGGACAGAGATTCCTTACTGGGAAATCCCAGCCACTGATCGAGTCTTTTTCCCAGGCTCTGGGAGCCACCCTGGCCAAGTTGTTCTGGGGATTGGCTGCTGCCCCTTTCATATTAATTTCTTCAGCTAAATGGTTTCTTCTGAATATGTGAATATAATCAGTGGAGTGTGTAAAACTCCCAGGTTTGACCCTTGCTGGGCTCAGTGCTTCTTGTGGTATAAATTTCTCAGGCATAACATAAATGTGTAATGGATTAAAGCTTTAATAGTATCCGTTCAGCAGTTGACTTAAGCAGGTGATGACAAGAGGGGCTGGTAATGCTGCTTTTGTTGGATGAGGGATATGCTGGGCATGCTGCTTATATGTAACCCAATAGCACTATTCTGTTCTGAGTGGTCCTTGGTGGTAATTATTCCTATCCTACTTCCTTTGTCCCCCCCTCATTTGCCTCCAAAATGTCACTCTCCTGCTGAGGATGGGCAGGCACACACTTATCATTCCCCACTGAGCTTGCTTGCCCTCAATTAAATACATTCCAGGCTTATATTCAGGGCCTCTGGCCTTACTCTCCTCCTCTGTGTGGAGGGCATCATTCCTGTTCCCTGGCCTGCACAAGCCTATTCAGCCCCTTCCCAGCAGCAGCTGGCAGTGCTCCCATGGAAGTTTGAAGATGCAGGGACAAAGAGCTGCTACCTGGTCCTTCTGTGCAGCTGGCAGGGAGCTCTCCCTCCCTCTCTTGCCATGAGCTCAGAAGGTGTTTGCTGCTGGAGCATTCCCAGTTCCCTGGGTGCGCTGGGAAGCTGCAGCAGAGCTGGTCTCACACTGCAAGGTGGTGCTTGCAAAGGCTTCTTCCCAGTGTGACTCTGTCCCTCCCTGTTGCTTGGCTTCCACTGTCAGGCTTGGAGTTGTGTTTTTGCTGGAGGGTCTGTCACACACGCAGGAGAATGCCTGGGCAGTTGTGTGCACACACGAGACAGTCAGAGGTGAGGATTTGCAAGCAATACTTGTAGCCTGCCTCAATCCAAACTTTTGAGCTTTGAATCCATACTTCTGAGATGCTGATGCACATTGAGTACAGAAAAACCCAGGTATGGAGGATAGACCTCAGTTTTTAAAGAAGAGAGCAAAATAGCACTTTATCCAGCAAAACTTACAGGTTTTAATAAAACAGCTTCAAAATATTGATTGCTGTATGTTACCAGCAACGCAGCCAAGCCATGGAAAGAAACATCCAAGCCCCTGGCACACAGAAACCTTTCAGTATATCACCCACTGATTACCTTGCTCCTTGACCTGTGCCAGATGAAAATTTAGGACTGTCTCTTCTAAATTGTATCCCCCTGTGTACTCATTTAGGCCTGAGACTACCATCTGCTCCTTGGTTCAGCTTACTTGCACTGCCATGGACCATACAGTATCACTAAAAATAAACCAGAGCAAGTGCCTCATTCATCCCCTCTCTTCCTGGGGCACTCTCCGTGCAGCTGTCAATAGCTGGAAAGCATATCTGGAAATCTGCACAACACTTAGGTCAGTGAGAGCAGCATTGATGACCCTGCACTGTAGTAAATGCTGGCCACAGCTTTTCCAGGAAAAATCAGACCACTTGATGCCCTTGGCATGTGTTCACTTCAAACCTGAAGTGATTTTTCAGTGACATGAAAACACAGTGTGATGATTGAAATGACTTCTGAACCTGGAAAGCACTGAATTTTCATGAAGAGGGCTGGATCCCTGCAAGGTCTTGTAGGACTCAATCCAACACCTTTCCTTCCACTGTTGCTTTAGGAATGGATTTGGTGTTTTGAAGGCTCAACTGAAGTTTACAGGGAAATGGATTTGTAGAGAATTCTCAAAGCCTGGCAGAAGGCTCACACAGTGTGCATCTGTATGCAAACCTTGAGATAAGAAATACTGACTTAGAAATGCCATGGAATAGCACAGACATTGCTGAGAGAGAGATGGAACTAGAAACAAGTTTCAAAGGATGGTTTTGTGTAAATAAGACTAGATACTTTGGAGAAATAGAACTGTGAAAGATGCACTGTAGTAGGACCCACGAGGGGTAATTTTAGATTATTGGCTTTAAGGCATTTACAGCATGGTGTGGCAAAAGCTGATAGGCCAGAAAACACTTATAATGTATTGTAATTAGGAAATAATTGGCTTCTGATTGTGATGGCGTGAATTGTAACACCTGTATTGTCTCATCCTTCTCATGAGACTGAAAATGGAATAAAAGTTTTTAAAACACCTCTCAGTTGCTCCATCTCTGGGTCAGAAAAGGGTAAAATCTGACATTGATCATTGTGCTCTGGAGTGTCGCTGTGGCGCTTGATAAAGAAGGATGCAGGACATGTTTTATGGTGCAAAAGGAAAGGATCCAACCTGGCTTATTTTATTAAACGCTTTTATAGGGTTGTTTAAGAATATCCCCATCTGTCCCCAGTTGGTCAGTAATAAGTTTGTTACCCTGTATTGATTGGTCACTCAAACCCCCCGTGTGTACATGCAGGAAAGGTTGTTTGTGAGAGACAGCTTTCATTTCTCTATCTAACGGTATAAAAACATTTATACAGGTGGCTAGCGTTTATCAGAGTCCTAGAGTTCTTTCTCAGGGAAAGCAGGTTGTTTTCCACTGCTGCAGCACTCTGTTCTCACAAAGAGCTGTCAGCTCTCTCATGGCTTCTGTGGGCTTGAGTCAGGATTCACTTTGTAGGCCTTTGGCTGCTGCTCCACCACCACGTGCAGCAATTAGCCAAGGCAGAAATATCTGTCACAACTAACAATAAAATGGTGATTTATCTGCTTGCAGTGAAACTTTATGCTCTGACAAGCCAAGTCATCAACGGGGAGATGCAGTTCTACGCCAGGGCCAAACACTTCTACCGGGAGGTGCCGGCCACGGAGGAGGGAATGATGGGAGACTACATCGAGCTCTCCAACACCGACGTCGAATCCTCACGGGAATTCCTCAGGAAGTTTGTTGGGGTAAGTCATTTAGTCTTCTGCAAGGAGCAGTGGTGTATTGTATTTAGGTTGCCCCCAGACAGAGGGAGGAATGATGAATCTGACTCCATGTGCTCTAATTAGAAGGCTAATTTATTAATTTATGATACTATATTATATTAAAGAATGCTATACTAAACTGTACTAAAGAATACAGAAAGGATACTTAAAGAAGGCTAAAAAGATAATAATGAAAACTCTTGACTCTCTCCAGAGCCTCAACACAGCTTGGCATTTATTGGCCAATGAGACAAAACAACTCAAAGCAAAATCCAGTGAAACAATCACCTGTGGGTAAACAATCTCCAAACACATTCCACATGTGAACAAAACACAGGAGAAGCAAATGAGATAAGAATTGTTTTCCTTTTCTCTGAGGCTTCTCAGCTTCCCAGGAGAAAAATCCTGGGTGAAGGGATTTTTCAGAAAACATCAATGTGACAGTGGTGATGTGTCAAAAATGACATGCACAGTGCCCAGGCACCCCTGATTTAAATGTGTCACGTTTGGTTTGCAGTCATGAGTCAGCACTGTTGTTGGGTCTAGTCATGTGTTCTGCCACCTCATTCATCAGCATTAATACACATTTTGCCTGGTTTTACATCATTATTTACCTGTTTTACATTCTTTTCTAATGCTCCCAAGCTGCAATGAGGAGTTCTTTTACCTGGGTTTGATCAATTCTGAATGGAGGACTGGGACCTTTCATGATAAAATCCTTGCTGGCTTCAGTGGCAGATTTGTCTGTGCAAATTCTAGCAGTCCAGTTGGGAAACTAGCTGAGACTAAATGCCCAGTTTCTGGTTTGCCTATTTATAGATATTTGTCAGAATGCTGCAACAAAACCCACCTTCTCCTACACATTGTAAGTATATAGAAGAGGCTACACATTAGGCAAAATATTTTTCCTTCAACATTCCAGTGTCACTGAACACCTTTTCAGGCCGATTGCCAAAGGTCTGTAAAGTCTTGAAAAGTCTGCTTTGGCCTGAATTGCAATTAGATGCCAAGTAGGATTTTAAGAGCAGTATCACTTTGGTCCTTAGGTTTCTGAAAATCCTGTTGAGTCCTAAAACTGTTGTTAGAAATCTGAAAACCTTTAGAAGTGTGGCCCGATGTTTTTCTGACTGCCCTTCCCTTTTCCCAGAGAAGGAGCCCACTAAGTCAGCTCAACAACAGTATTAGATGTTAAAGAATCCACAAACAAATTTGTGAAGTTCTCCTGCTGACAAAATTACTAGTTCTATATAATGCTGCCATAGATCTTTAATTTTCTGCTCAAATGTACAAATTTGGGATAGCCAGATGACCTTGTTTTAGCCTTAATGACCCACTGTGGGAAGAAAACTCAATAGGTTAATTAGATGTTGTATATGGAATAAAAAGGGCACAGTTTAAATGGATTGGGATAGAAAATGAGTGTGGCTTGATAACAGATAGAAATCATGCAGAGCTGGTAAGGGGAAGTGATGGCAAAGTTTGCTGTACCTGATAGAGGGAGACTTTTGGGGCTCTGAGGCAGAAAAACACAAGTGAATAGCTGCATTTTTCTGCATCAACAATCATTTGTATTAATGCTGAGGCAAAAAAGGCTTCTCAGAGCCTCCCTGTATCACACTGTCAATGAACACAAAATGAGAAAATACAAAGGAGGTTCAGTGAGGAGCTGAAGCTGACGGTAACATTTCTGAATGACGTTTCTGAAAATGGCATTTTCAGAAGGAAAATGAAAAACAGTCAAGGCACATTCCTTAAAATTTAATTAAGTCTTGTTTTAAGGACATTTGTGGAATTCAAGTGGTGCAGAAGTGTGTGCTCAGGGGAAGATTTCACCCTTCCTGGACATCACACAGATGCAGTTTCCTGCAGCAGGTTTGTGTCATACTGTTACACTTTCTCCTCTCCAAGACCCGAAAAGGAAAGAAGTACAGTCTGTGACAGAGTTTCACATGCCAAAGGAGAATCATACCCAATGCATCAGCTGTGATGACAGATACAAAATACTCCAGAGCAAAATTCCCACTCCTATAATTAGCCAGGGATAGAGAGGATACTCTGAATGGCCAAGATCAAACAAACAAACAAAAAAAAAGAAAGGAACAGAAAGGAGTCTGCACCTTTTGCTTATTCTTTGTTAAGGCCTGTTGTCTATTGAGATGTAGACAATTGATTATGTTACTTACGGTTTATTTTTCTTTCTTACTACTGAAATTTGAATTGAATCCTGCTCAACCAGATACAGATATTTAGTGGCTTTCCTTAGCAGTGACTTGATAATAGAGCTAATGAACTGTCTTATCAAGTTTATGGCTCTATGAATTTTTTTTTTCAACCCATAAGGTGATCAAAATAGAAAAAAAAAAAAAACTGCTTCACCCCTAATGTACTTTCTCTTATTTTAAGACAAGTTTAACAAAATTGGAAAATAGGAAAAATTGTTTCAGATTAACTGAACATTTTTTTATTGTTTCACCCTCTGAAAAACTTTCCCCTTTGTTTTCAAGAGCTCAAGTCAGTTCCAAAATAAAAAATGCTCTTTAGGAATGAAAGTTGACAAGTTTGGTTTCTTTTTTCCTTGAAAGTTATGAAGGAAAAAAAAAAACAAAACAAAAGAAAACAAAAACTTTGACATTTTCAACATTCTTTCCCATGTTTTTTTGGCTAAAAACCATTCTCTAGATTTGAAATACCAGTTTCACAGAGAGTTTTATTCATTTAAAACTCTACATTCTGGCAAAACCGGTGCTCCCTAAACCAACACTTGCCCAGTTCCACTCAAATTACCCCTCCTGAGTTAGTTTGGCTGACGTGGAAATGCCACACAGTGACATTTCCCTTCCATGACTGATGTTGCATTCCTTCAGGTATGGCATTTCTTAGCATGATCCTTAGCACCACTGTAAACTGAGCTACAGGTTTCTTTGGAGAAAAGAATTCATCTTGCCTGGGCACATGGAAGGAATTACAGGAAGGGACTGAGGGCTTCACTCATATTTTAGCTTCGCGGGCGAGTCGAGCGGGGTTGAAAGTGCCACTGTGCTGGAGTTAAGAGGTTTTATGTGTGTGTGGGCAGAACTCAAACCAAGAGCAACATGGCTTGAGCCAGCAGGGCTCTGCAGACAAGCTCCAGGCTGTCTCAGGTACAGGGTTATCAGCACAGCTACAGCCCTGCTTATTTATGGCAGCGTGCTAAAGCCTCCGTGTCCACACAGCCACTGTGTTTCCCAGTGCCTGATCCGGAGGCAGCGAGTAAAAAAGAAAATAAAGAAAACAAAGGAAGCATTAATTCGGCCTCGGTCGTGAGCTGTAGGTGTGTAAAATATTACAGATGGAGATTTTATTGACTTTATGGCTCCCTCTCTGCCCTCAACGCTTTCTGCCTTTCTTGCCCCCAGCTCACCTGCGTGATTGGTTACTTGCTGAGTGAAAACTTCTTGAAAAGTGATTTTTCTCCAGTTTGATCAGGGTGATAGAAGAGATGTTGTTGAAAACATGCTCTTTCTTTGTTTATTTAGAAGGAAAATCATGGGGATTTTTTTATCTATTTCTTGAACTCTGATTCCTTTTTTTGTCATACATAGCTTCACTGCCTTTCTGCTCTTCCAAGACCTGAAGTACTGCCAGCCAACAATATGGAAATCCACCTTGTAAAGATCCAAGACATAGTTCCTTCTCCTTTCCTGAACTCCTTGTTACCTCTTAGTCTGGTCCTCAGTAAAAGCCACGTGCAGGAGCTTCCAAGACCTGAAGCAGCACCGGGAACCGTAAGCCAGAACAGGTTTCAAAATCTGAGACTACAGCAGCTTTCTCAAAGATTTTTAGTTAATCACATCAGTGTAGACCTGTATTTACCTGCCAGCCAACAATATGGAAATCCACCTTGTAAAGATCCAAGACATAGTTCCTTCTCCTTTCCTGAACTCCTTGTTACCTCTTAATCTGGTCCTCAGTAAAAGCCACGTGCAGGAGCTTCCAAGCTGAAGCAGCACCGGGAACCATAAGCCAGAACAGGCTTCAAAATTTGAGACTAACTGCTCCTCTGACTGGTTCCCATTACACAGAATCACTGTCCTTTAGGACACATATACACCCCAAAATTGTTCTCTAAAGCTAAACTGGGCACTCATAAATTTCATTTGGAATAAAAGAGCTGTGGGATATGTTCCCGGTGCAGCCTGTGGATGAGGAATGGCTCCCATTTTCTGGCTAACTACAAACAGGTAGTCTCCAGAGCCCAGCAGGGTTGAAGGTCTGTGGACTCGTGCACACTTCAGGAGATTAATCTTCCTGGGCATACAAATTGGGAGCAGCAGCCCTTGAGGCTGGTGAGAGCCCTTGAGGGCCTTGTGCTCTTTCTACATTTACTCCCTGTAATCAGATGCTGGCCTGGGCTATTCATAGTCATGTCATTGACAGTGCTGTCCTTTGACCTTAATAATCCACTGAATTACCCACTGAAGCCAGGCCAGAAAAGTGTGAGTTACATGATTTATGCTGGGTTCATTGCAAAGGGGGGGTCTCCCAATAAGCAGGAAGAGCCAGACTCTTCCAGGGCTTGTTGCCTTTGAGTGCAGTGAAGTTGCAGCAGGGACTTTGGCCCACGGCTTTCACTTCAACACCCAGTTCCAGAGGACAGGGAAAAGGTGTTTACATTTGCTTTTAATATGTTTGCTTAACAGATAACTTTGGCCAGGGGAGCTCCTATCCCACAGTCAGTGCATGTGTAGGCTCAGAAATTCTGTTTTACAGAACAGCAGCAGGCTCTTAAGAGCTGTTTTATAGCTAGAATGGAAGCTTTAGGGGTGAAATACAGCTTTCATTATAAAGCCTCTTTTACAGCGCTTCATTATTTTCTCATAGTCACAGCCTTTGTGCCACATTTTTTCATGTCTGATCTCTGTCCAAAGATGACATTTATGAAGAAAAAAGGAACAGTTAAGCAAAACCTAGTCAATCATCCTTCTTGTCTCTATGCCTAAAAGAGAAATTCTGTATACGCTCCAGCCCAAACTTCTGGAGTTGTCACAAGTTACCTACCACTCTGAGATCTTTGTTCAAACACAATTTGTTTTGAGGACTGCACTTTGATCCCAGGGATTTTGTGTATCTGTAGAAATGCCCGTGGGCACCTCAGGAGTTCTGTGCTGCAGAAGTTACTGCTTGCATGCAGCATTTGGTGTATGCTTCCCTTTTTATTGGCCTTTACAGGGCACAGAATGAGGCTTATCTAGCCATGTAGTTCCCTGTGAGGTGTGAACATTTGAATTTGCAAAGACTTTACAAGGAGTAGTGGATCTTCTGTGAAAGCCAGGAGCTTGTGAAAGACTCTGTCTCTCCTTACAACAAGAAAAAACTTCCTGTATAGCAGTAAATGCAGTGAGAAGTCCCAGCAGCAGCAGCCCAGGAGTGTGACAGCCCAGCTCAGCTCAGACAGAGGTACCCAAATCTGTGCTGATTCTTATCAACCTCCCAACAGCCCTGCTAAGATAAGGAGAGAAGACATCAGGCTGGCTGGACACATAGTGGGTAACATGGTGTCTTGGTTTGAAAAGCCAGGTGTCTGCTAAGGAAGGCAGGAGCCTCCCCTGAAATGGAAAATGCAATCCCCATCCCTCTAATTTATTATAATTTTGAAATTGAGGGGCTCTCAGGCAAAGATATGGGAGCAGGAATAACAGTCCTTTATTAGGAAAATTGAAAATATAAATGCAATAGTACAAAAAAAAAAAGAAAACAAACCACAGCCAGAGTCAGAGCAGGCCCTGGCCCCCTGTGGGTCAGGGTGGTGGCACAGTCCCATCCCATGGGGAACTGCCCCACCTCTGACAGATGGCAAATAGAACACACACCCCAGCTAAATCTTTGAACCTAAGACAGAGGGTTGCTGTGATTTTTTCAGGTGATATTTTTCAGATTTCAGATGATTTCTTGTATCCCTCAGGGGGTGGGGAAAGCTGGCACCAGCCGTGCCCTGGACTGTGGCTCTGGGATTGGTCGGATCAGCAAGCACGTCCTGCTGCCGGTTTTCAAGAGTGTGGAGCTGGTGGATATGATGGAGAATTTCCTGGCTGAGGTCCCAAACTACCTGCAGGGCAAGGAGGACAGAGTAGAGATGTATTACTGCAAAAGCCTCCAGGAATTCACACCGGCCCCTCGGAGATACGATGTCATCTGGATTCAGTGGGTTTCAGGTTAGTTCTGTGTGATCTTCTAGATTCACATCTCACAGAACAGCTCCAAGGAGGTTCTCAGATCTTTGGGGCTACTTCCTAAAATTCCACAAGAGTCTTCTGAGAGTTCCCCACATGCACAGTGGGTACAAATCTAGTTGGCTATACAGGTCACGTATTGGACAAATGTGCCAGATCCTGGAGAGCAACCTGCATGCAAAGGTGCAGCTGAGGGTGAGGCCCCACTTAGGGATTTTCTGGGGCAGGAATGCTCTTTCGTAGGTGCAGAGAGATATACAGGGCTGACCACACTTGTGAACAGTGGCTTCTGAAGCTGCTGATTATCCAGGCTTGGAGGTATTTCAGGAAACAATCAGGGAAAAAGCCAGAGAGGAATCACTAATACCTGTAAATCAGATCAGGTCTTATTACATGCACTGATGTTTATCAGTCATAGGTTCCCTTAGCTATGTCCCACAGTAGCTCCTCCTATAAGAAATATCTGCTTCTTCTCCTGCAGCCACCCCAGTGAATGCCCTGCAGCATTTAGAGCAGTCACATAATGAGGGCTATGTACCTTACAAAAAAATTCTGTCCAGTGAAAATTAGGTTTTCTCTTAATCTGTGAACCAAAGTGTCCAGGGTGCAGTTTCACAGGACAGAAGGAATTATTCAAGAGGAGGTCTGAACAAATTGCTTTAGAGCAACATAATTTTCCTGTGCATTTTTGCTTTTCTTTAATCATGAGTCATTGCAGTAAATGGAGCTCCTGCCTCACCTTTTGAGCAAATCCAAGTCAAATTGAGGAGGAATGAGCTATCTAAGGCTGTGCTGGTCAAATATGTGGCTCCTAACTAAGGGAGCATATCATATTCTTAGCATAGACACAGAACTGAATCTTCTTTCTCCATCAGTGTCAAGGAAATATGGAGTCATCTTAATAATTAATTAAACTGCTACCCCTGTCTTGAATTTGGCTCAAATATGCCAACAAATTAATTTGATAGACCAAGGGCAGGATTGTCTTCTAGAAAGCAACACCTTGAAGATCTCATTTTTTTTAGGAAACTACACTAAAAGCCAAGTAAAGAGAAAAATAAGTTCCAAAATAGGTGTTCAGAAGCTTCAATGAATCTTGCCAATAAGATCTTGATTTGTCTTATGCATGCATGAGCATGTGAACTCTAGCAGTCATTTTGTAAAATAAGTAAAAGTGCAAGCTTACATTCCATCTAGAAATTACCATTTTCCTTTAACTTGAAAGGTATTCAGCTTTAGGTTTTGGGGCTTTTTCTTTTTAATTTTTTTGGTTTTGTTAGGAGTGGTTAGAGAAACTTGACATGCTATGTTAAAATGTGGTTTTGAAATGACAACTTCCATTTATAAAAGTTTAAATCTTCCATCAAGAAAACTAAATAGTTTTACTAGTAAATACAGGTGATTATTTTTACCAAGTTTTTTCAGTTTCTGATCACCTGTCCTTGTTTATTCATGTTAGATGTTTCCCATGTGAGAGTTCTCATTTTGCTCTTCTCTGAGCTCTGCGCCACTGTTCTCCACAGAACTCCTGATCTTTGAGAAGGAAGGATAAGAAACAGAATCTCAATAACATATTGGAAAAAAAAGCACTATTTTATAATATATACATATCTGCGAAAATCCCATGGGGTGTGGAGTAACATGAGGAGTTTAACTGGGGTTGTGGAATTGGCATTGCATTCTTTGCTGGATCTTTGATCCAGAACTCCTTTGATGAAGGATACAGTGCAACACAAAGTTACAGAGACTTTTAGCAGTAAAAACAGAGAGGACTGGGATTATCTAGTCTGACCTACTCTATATCCCAAGCTGCTCTATTCATTCCTTTACCCCTGTGCTAAGCCAGTATTTTGTGTTCAATTAAAACGTATCTTGAAAGATTCAACCACACTTGGTTTGAGGACTTCAAGAGGTGGTAAACCCCACTTCTGTTGGTAGTTTCCAGAGGGTAATTGCTTACACTGTTAAACAGTTGTCACTTATTCCCTATAAGAATTTGTTTGGCTCCAGCCTCCTGCCACTGATTCTTATTATAACTTAAACCACCAGATTAAAGAACCCTTCAGCACCCACTATTTTCTCCACTCTCCTCAGTGGTTTGGGTCCACATCTGTTGCTGCTACCACTGTGGATCCCAAGTATTGACTGGAGTTTGTATTTGATCTCATTTATTTGCCCAAGATTTCCTAGTTAAATCTGACAGGACTAGAATAATAATTTTCTGCAATAAACAGGCCACAGAGACTCAGACCAAGGCACCCTTCTGACACGTCTGAATGGTTAATAGCAAACTACACACCCCCATTTCCAACCTAAAACACCATCTTTTCACCCGCAGGATATCTGACAGACAAAGATCTCCTGGAGTTCCTCATCCGCTGCCAGGGTGGCTTGAAGGATAACGGTGTCATCATTCTGAAGGACAATGTGGCCAGGGAGGGCTGCACCCTGGACTGCCTGGACAGCAGCGTGATCCGAGACCTGAACATCCTGCACAGCCTCATCGAGATGAGCGGCCTCACCATCCTGCGGGAGGAGAGGCAGCAGGGCTTCCCTGAGCAGTGTGTCCCTGTCTGGATGCTGGCCATGCAGAAGGGCCCTGGCCACTCCTGACTGCCCTGTGGGACTGCAGGGACTGGGCCATGGATGAACCAGGGGGCTGGGAAGGAGAAAAGCACCTCCTGGAATCCTCCTACCCATGCACTGCTCCAGGGCAGCAGCTTCTAAAGGGTCAGGAGAGAACCACAAAGCTTCTCCCAGGAACAGTCTGCTCCTAAATCCTACCTGCTCCATCAGTCTTTCCATTTTTAAAAGCTTTCCTAACCTCCTTGTCAGGTCTCTCTTCCATTAAGGAGTCAACACTGTACAAAACTCATCTAATAGAAAATAATTAGGTCTGAAGTTTCTGTAGTAGTTAATAATTTTGGGGTGTTCTGTATGAGGTGTTAACAAGCCTGGTTTTCACTATGGCACTTAAGTCTTCTTGGAATTTAAGAAGGATCTGTCAGATCACTGAAGCAGGAAATTCAAGTAACTTCTGGAAAACTTCACCCAAATTTTGGTTGCCCTCTCTACCTGTACTTTAGAATATTTAAACCAAGAATATCAGGAAAGTTTTATCTTTTTGTTAGCATCAGCTATGCAGTTTTGGGGGTTTTGGGGGGGGATTTTTTGGTGTTTGTTTTTGGTGGTTTTTTTTTTTTTTTTTTTTTTTTTTTTTTTGTTGTTATTGTTGTTTTGGGGTTTTGTTGTTGTTGTTGGGGGTTATCTTGGGGTTTGGGGGATTTTTTATTTCTTTTTTTGTTTTGTTTTGTTTCATTTTTTTAATTTCTGTCAATTTGGACAATAAAACAACCTGGTTAATTTTCCATTTTTAGGAGCCACTTCCTCTTCCTGATGTTCCTGCTGTAGAACAATAGTGGCTCATAAGGGATTTCACACTCCAGAGGAAAACTTGGCTGACAAATATCTGCATGTTTGCATTGAAATTTTGTGAAAAGCTGGCCCCACATATTACATTCTGGAATTTTTAATTTTTTTTTTCAGAATGTTCACAGTGGAAACCACTTGAAAGCCTCTCTTTATTATTCATACCACTGTGCATTTCTTTCTTTCCCACATTCAGAACAAGCCTGGCACCATATGCAGAGCTAATGGGATTTCACGGAATGTTAATAGTAAGGCTGTAAGAAGAACTAATACAGTATTGTATTAATTAACAACTGTGCTAAACTGCAGAGAGTGTTAGTGTAGCCCAAAAGCTATGATTTATATTCAAAGAGCAGCTGTGTAAGCCTGGATTTGAAAATACTGACATGCAGCCCGTCTCCTTAAGGCTCACAGAAATTGTACATTAAGCTTCTTGTCCTCTTCCTAGAGGCACAGAAAGTGCTGTGGGAGACAGAGGTTCATTTTGAAAACAAATTCAGAATGTGGAATTTTTCTTCTTTCTAAAGATGCGAGGGAGGAATTTTGAAATTTGTTATGAGAGAATGCTACACAACCACAGTTTTCCAAGCTGACTAAAATTTTTATCCAGACAAAATGAAATGCTTCTTTCAAATTGAATTTTTAACGTAATTTGCAGTTAAAATGTTACTAAGCCTTCTTCAAACTTTTAGAAATTAATGATAACATTAGAAACGTTCTGACTCTGTCAGAATTTTTATCACATCTTGCTGCCCTGAAATGCAATCCTGGCAAAGCTTTTCAGACTTTGTAAAGAGTTGCACCATGACAAATCTCTCTGTGCTAGGGGAAAGGAGCTCTATAAAACATCCCTCACATGACAGCAGGCACAATTGGCTGTGTCAAATATTGTCAGCTGTGTTGGATTAACTAAAAAAGAAGCCTGAAGATAACAAGATAAGGGAGCCTCTCAGCTGGATTTTAGTACACATTGCTGTCCTTTGATAACAAATCTCCAATTTTGATTTTAATTGCATAACTCATCTTCTCTGGCAATATGTTTGCACATGTTGAGAATTACCAGTTTATAGCAGAAGGCTTTCTGCCATCAACTCTTATCCAGTAACTCTCCTGTTAATGTCCCATGGCTAATTGTAGCATTAAGGAAAACCACACTGGTGATTTGGTGAATATTCTGGTGTTTCCTATAGCCTGGAAACCTATGGTTCCCACAACACAGATGCTTCTGGAATGTTTTGACTAATTCTTCCATTCTGATCAGCTGGTATTGGATGGAAACTGAGTAAGTGACATTTTTATCAAGAAAGAGGCATCAGTCCTATAGCAAAAAAAAAGAGAATATTTATGTATTTTCCTTTACATGAATTACAAATTAATTTGCTCTTCACCATTTTTTTCTTCCAGCCAGAGACATCTGCCATGGTGCAGAACACTTGGGGACTGCTGGAGATGCTTGTGCAGTGGTGTCTGTGCCAGGCAGGTCTGAGAGGTGTTCTCACTGCAGTGGTGGGAGAATGGCATTGTGGAAACGTGGGAATGAAGAATTTTATACAAACCTAAACAGCTGCTAAATCTTACAGGGCACAATATATCAGCTGAGTTGGTGCAGTTCAGTCAGGAGAGATGTGGTTCCAAGGTGGATTTAAAATACAAAATGGTTCAGGATGAAAAATGGAATATAAATGGCTGGTGTGGTTACCATGAAATACATTTTTCAGTGTAAAAGTGTTCTTCCTGTGTTTTGTGTATCTTTTCTATCAGAATTTCCAGAATGCATATACATAAATATATAATGAAAATTGGTTCTCTTAACTCTGTGAGAAGAGAGAAAAGTAAAATCTTAATTTAGTAGAAAAACCCCTATTTCATGGTTTCCACATTCCTGGAAATTAATGTTTCATGCTTATGTTGCTTCCACAGTAAAATAGTAAAGCTTTTCTGGTGACATAATGAATCTCAAGAGTAAAGAAACAAAGTCCTTCAGGAGCTTAAATGCATGAGAAGGCTGCAGACTGAAAAATATTTTGGTTTCCTCCCTTTCTGAGGCATGTTTTAATTCCAGAACTCCCAGTCATCTGGTACAGGCCACCCTTAAATGTCCCTTAATTTGGGTAAGGGCCATTCTTGGCTTAGAAATTCAGGTCTGTCTGCAATTTACCCATAGAATATAATAATAATAATAATAATAATAATAATAATAATAATTTTAATAAATAATCACAAATTTCAAACAGAAGATTTTGCTTAGACATCATCTGTGTAACAGTTCTGTTTTGGTGTTCAAGGACTGGATATTCAATTCAATGGCTTTGCCTCAACTTCCATGTTATTTAAACCAATTATTTAAAGAAGTCTTTAGCTCCTTGGGGGTTTGAATCCCATTTGTTTTGTGCTCATCTGAAACTTGTTCCTGATTTTGGTGTTACCAGAGATTTAATCCAAGATCAGGACCCTGTCTGAGACAAGGCTCACAGAACACTGAGGGTCCTTCAAGCTCAAGTCCTCATTAGCACTGACAAGTGATTAGGGAAATTCCCAACTTGTCCTTCCAGCAGATCTTTCTCCCAGGCTACCACACCGAGTAAGGGCTTAGCCCCAGCACAGTAAATCCCGTTTCTGCCAAGCCACCTCCCAAGTTCTGGTGCCACTTGGTGCCCCCATATCAGGTCCAGCTTCTATTCTGTGTGACTGAAGGCCAAACGTTACCTTTGTTGTATGAATGTGAGCCTCAAGCCCTGGCTGTAGCCTCCAAACACCACTGCAACCCCACAAAATGTAGAAAAACAATTGTTGCAGCATTCTGAGCAGCAATCCCAGCTCCAGCAGCCATCACAGCTCAAGCTGTTCATGCTCCAAAGGCAATTCAGACATTGCAAATGTCCTTTCCTTCCTAACTGGAAGAGAGAGCCATCATTTTGGAACATGCAGCTGAATGGATTGCTGAAATGCTTTGTTCCAGAAGTACTGAAATTATATCAGGCATTTGTATCTTGACTTTCTTGTTTGGATGTTTATGTAAGCTAGTTTGAGCTGACATGTTATGTGAGGTGACAGAGTTATACACTATATGCTATTGAAACAGCTGAAGTGAAACATCAGTTTCCTACAAAACACATTAATAAAATCAGCACATTCCCTGTCCCTAAACTTGGTGAAACAAGTCAGCAATTTCCAGAGGAAACTGGTTTCAAGAGGTACAGGCCTGTCAAGAGGCATTTCCCTAAGCTCTCTTTCTGCAGACTCTCCCATCCACTCAGGCAGCTCCAGGAAGCAGCCCCTGGAGGCTCTTTGACGGGCAAGAAGAGGCAGCTGACACCTCCAGAGCACTCTGAGCAGCTCAGAGCAGGACTGGGCTGCAATCAGAGCCTCCCCTCTCTGCAGGGGCTGTGCAGTGATGGTGCATCCTTGTTTCAACCAGCTCTGCACCTTCATTGTGATGTCAAGCAGGAGTGCAGTGTGTTCTGAGGAGCTGCCAGAAACAAGGCAGGGGCTTGGATAACCAAACACCTCTGGAAATCAGTCATGGAACCAGAACACTGCATTCAAGGGACACCTCAGCACTGCCTGATGCCAGCTGGAAAAAGCTTTGCCAGTTAGTCCACCAAGAGCCCTGAGGACCTTTGTGCCATTCCCTTGTATTTTTCCAGGCTCCCCAGGGTGTTTACAATGGCATATCAGAGAGTGGGCCTGTCCAGAGGAACTTCACTCTCAAGTGTGATTAAAACCAGTTGTGCTGCATCCCATCCTTCTCTTCCTTTGATGCTTCTTCCAACTTGCCAAAGAAAATCCTGCCTCCACTTGCCAAGAAAGATTTGTTTTCTGTGGACATCACCACATCTCACTGAAATAAAACAGATAATCTTTGATTTTGAGAGGAGGTAATTCTGTTTGTCTGAGAGCAGTAACAACACTCTGCATTTCCAACATGCAGGTTAATTCTTGTGTTTTCCAAATGATGGCAAGCAGGCACCCCCAGACTACTGTACCAAACAAAGCTCATGCTCTCATCACAGAAATAACAAAATTTGCATGACACCATATGCCCCTAGGCCATGAAGAATGGGGTTTATTGTGTTTGGGATAAGGAAACTGAGGCACAGAAGGGTGATCTGGGCAGCATTACAGCTTTACCTAAGCAGTAGCTGTGAGTGAGCAGCACCTCTACAAACCAAGCCACCAGAGGAACTCCAGAATGTTTGCAGGCAGACATAAACTGATTCTGGCTGTGCTTGGAACAGACTGAAACAGCCCAGTTGTGGTTAGCCTGCTTAACCCAACCTGGAATGTTCTCCAAAGACAGGGTTCAGGCTGAACATTATGCTCAGGAATATCAGGAATATCAACAGCTTCTGTTCCTTTCAAAGTCTTGAAACAGCAACCCAGTGTATGCCTGTGGCAAAAATAAAAACACAAAATTGGGTGAAAAGTCTCTCTTCCCTGTATCTCTCTTCAAAGAAATGTTGCATTTGCAGACATTTCAGCCTGTTGTGATGTCTTCAGGCTCCTGGGACTGAGGTTTTTAGAGGCATCTCCATTCAACTGTGCCTCCTCACAGTGACTTGAACTGATTTGTAGGTGCGTTGTGCCTGGCTGTTCCTCTCTCCCTCATCAAGTCAAAAATCCCAGATCTAGGCTCAAAATCTTTGTTTGGGTTATTCCCCTCTGTGTGCACACCCATGGTAACAGTTTCACCCATGCACACTCCTCTGTGTACAATAAATGCAGTGTGAACTGGCCAAGGTCACC